GAAAAAAAAAAGCTTTATGTGCATGTCTCATTTTCCCAAATAGAGTTTATTAATCAAGGTTCTTAGGTCTCAGGGAACACCACCCATTTAAGCTAGGCTACTAGAAGATATGGCAGCAGGGCTGGGAGTTGTAGTGGGTTTTTACCCTGTTAAGGCAGCTGTGCTCCTTAAAATGAACTACAGCTGGAACCCAGAGCAGGCACTTGGAAAGTCCCTGTCCTTTCTCCCTCTGCCTGCAGTTTTGCATGGACTGTCTTTGGCTTCTTTCTGTGCCTCTGCTTCATTCCAGAACAGTAATTTGGATTTTTTTAAATACTGTGCATAACACTATTATCTATCTTGATTACTGAGTTTCTTGGCATCCTGTTAAATCTTGCACCTGAGGCAAATGCCCCAGCGCTGCTCCATTCTCTCCTTTATAGACTGGCTTTCTCTACTCTCTCTTGCTTTCTTTCTCTCTTCTGCCTTCACCTTAGGTTCAGCTTAAATGTGACTTTATCTTGCTGTGATGCTGCCTCCAGACTGGATGATATATGATCTCTCGGCTTAGGTTTTGTTTCTCAGCTTTCCAAATTCCTGGGGAAGAACTGGATTTGATGTATCTTGCTTGGGCTAGGGGTACTGCCTGTACTGAAGATCTGTGAGGGAGGGGCATTGTTATGGTTGTGTACTTCACAGGGCCTGGGGTAAGGGTCCCAGAGAAGGCGGTTTAGGGTTGGTCATCCCCAAACATGCTTACTTTAGTACCAGAGGTGAGAGGGAAGTGACCATGTCATTGTTTTTGTATCTGCACTGCATCTGGCAGATTAACAGCTGAAACGTGGGTGTGCTTCTTAAGTACTTGTTTATTGCTATGACTCCCTGACCATTTGGATTACCTTTTGGGCATAACAGGCTAATCAGAGAAATATTTTTTAAATAAATTTATTTATTTATTTAGGCTGCATTGGGTCTTTGTTGCTGCATGTGGGCTTTCTCTAGTTGCGGCGAGCGGGGGCTACTCTTCGTTGTGGTGCATGGGCTTCTCATTGCGGTGGCTTCTCTTGTTGCGGAACCTGGGCTTTAGGCATGCAGGCTTCAGTACCTGTGGTGCGCAGGCTCAGTAGTTGTGGCGCACAGGCTTAGTTCTGCGGCAAGTGGGATCTTCCCGGACCAGGGATTGAACCCTTGTCCCCTGCATTGGCAGGCAGATTCTTAACCACTGGGCCACCAGGGAAGTCCCAGAGATTTTTTTTTTTTTTTCGGTACGCGGGTCTCTCACTGTTGTGGCCTCTCCCGTTGCAGAGCAACAGGCTCCAGACGTGCAGGCCCAGCGGCCATGGCTCACGGGCCCAGCCGCTCCGTGGCATGTGGGATCTTCCCAGACCGGGGCACGAACCTGTGTCCCCTGCATCAGCAGGCGGACTCTCAACCACTGCACCACCAGGGAAGCCCCCAGAGATATTTTTAATATTAAAAATATTACCAAAATTTGTTTTATCATCATTTGAAAGATTTCTAATTTTAGAGCAAATTAACTATTTTTTTAAACATTTTTGAAATTTATTTTCTAGTTCAGAAAGAATAGAGGAGTAGAATATTGATAATCAGGGCTTCCCTGGTGGCGCGGTGGTTGAGAGTCCGCCTGCCGATGCAGGGGACATGGGTTTGTGCCCCGGTCTGGGAAGATCCCACATGCCGCGGAGCGGCTGGGCCTGTGAGCCATGGCCGCTTGGCCTTCGCGTCTAGAGCCTGTGCTCCGCAACGGGAGAGGCCACAACAGTGAGAGAACCGCGTACTGCAAAAAAAAAAAAAAAAAAAGAATATTGATAATCAACTAAATAAAAAGTGATAAGTCTTTACGGACTCTGCCCCCCAGTCCTATTAGGATATGGTAAAATCAGGTACTCCCATCATTGATCTCAAATATTATTGAGTCCCACCCCCTTATTATTTTGTTATATACTTAGTATCTGCTATGTTGCAGGTACTATGTTGGGCTGATAATATAAAAATAAGTGCCTGGGGACTTCCCTGGTGGCACAGTGGATAAGACTCCGTGCTCCCAATGCAGGGTCCCTGGGTTTGATCCCTGGTCAGGGAGCTAGATCCCACATGCATGCCACAACGAAGAGTTCGCATGCCACAACTAAGGAGCCCATGAGCTGCAACTAAGGAGCCCGCCTGCCTCAACTAAGACCTGGTGCAACCAAATAAATAAATAAATAAATACTAAAAAAAATAAAATAAAAAAAATAAGTTCCTGTCCTTAAAGGACTCACAGTCTATGAAGAAGATACGTATTAAGCAACTGATTATGATGAGATAAATGTTGATAGAAGTGTAGGCAAAGTGGTGACTTAACACCTCTCTTCTTCTGTTGCTTTCTTTGTACATTCATTGTCTCTCATTTTTTTATATTCCCTTTTTTAGTCTTCATTGCTCTCACCCAGTCTTTGCAATTAATTGTCCGGATTATATGCATCTCAGTATGGTAATATCTCATTTACCTAGTATGAAATAATGAAGTATTCCTTAAAAATGAATTTTGAAGATAATGACTTTATTGGCTAAAATTTATTGAACCCTTGCTCTGTGTCAAAACTGTTCTAATTGATTTATGTGTATTCATTTAATGAATTAATGTATCAGCCCCATGAGATAGGTACTATTATTATCATTTTAAAAACAGAGAGACAAAATGTAGTTTACTGTCTTGCCTAAGATTACAAAGTGAAATATCTGTAAGAAGATTGAGATCCTTTTAAAAAATCTATTTTGAATGTCATTTTTGGTAAAATGCATTATAAACTTTTCCTGGTCTTCTTAAATGAAGTTCTTCAAACTTAATTTAACCAAGATGATTTGGAGGATATAGAATTTTGAATTCATTGCATGCATCAGGTGTATTATTCTGTGCTACTGAATTGCCTTCGGAGGTTGTTGCCGTTCATGGACTATTGGTAATTACATTAAATTGTCCCACACCTTAGGGCTTTAGTTACTTTATAGTTTTTCCTTTGCTTTTGCCTCCAGCTGCGGCTTCTTAATTACCAATTACTGTCATATCAGTAACTTGTTTCTGTTAATGTGTGGTGTGTAGTAACAAAAGTAAAAGCATGGTAGAAACTAAGTATTTTATAGAGGCAGTATGATATAGTATAAAAAGCATGGATTTTAGGGTCAGGTTCAAATCTCACATCTACTGTTGAGAAAGAAGTTATATATCCTTGAGCAGTCTCTTTATTTTGAGCCTTAGTTTCATCATTTATGAAATGGGGATAGCAATATTTTGCAGAGTTATTATGAGGAGATGTATTTGGTAAAGTAAATACCTGGCAAATAATAGGTATGCAAATAAAAATTGATACCTTTATTTTTCTCTTCATTATGTTGGAATATGGCATATGGCCTCTTTGTTAATCCGAGAAACTCAGGTAAATGAAAGAAACTTGTTTCTAAGATGTAAGAAAGATGTAGACACTTTTATTCTATCACTTAAAAATATTAGTTTACAGTTGGTGTCATAAGTGTGAATTTGAGTATTACCCTAAACTTCTGTTTTGGGTCCTTGTACTAAGCTCTCAGTAACCTCCTCTCCTTCTCTGCTTTAAATTAAGTTGCCTTTACTTCTTTCTAGGTGGCTTTCTTGATTTTCCTTGTTTGCTATTAAAGGAAAAATGTCCCTTAGCCCTTTTCAAAAGAACCTATGCCAAGGCAGACCTTATGACACTGGGGGCAATAAACCAAGCTTCTTGGCCAATAACTGACTTCTGAGACTTCCTTTCTTTCATCAGTTCTGCTTTTTTCAGCTATCTCCATCTTAAATATGAATTTGTTTTTCTTTCTAGCCCCACCCCCTTCCATTTCTCCCTTCTCAGAAACTATCCACATTAGCTGTATGGTTATTATTTCACTAGTTTTATATGGTTTGGTTTTTATTGTGTGTGTATATGTATTTCTCAAAGGCTATATTTTGGTAATTTTTATTATTTATAGGGAACTCTCCTATCTTAATATGATAAAAAATTTGGCACCAGAGGTTTTGCCTTCTGTCTTGAAATTCCAGTAAAAACCGTGATATCCGCTCCTTACTGGACTGTCAGATGCTTCACCACATGCAAGTACTCCAGCTCAAGTCACCAAAAAAAGTTTTTGAACAATTTTACCGAGGCATAATTTACATATCATAAAAGTCATCCTTTTTAAGTGTACAATTCAGTAATAGCAAATAACATTTTCCTATCAAAAACTCTTCAGCGGGCTTCCCTGGTGGTGCAGTGGTTGAGAGTACGCCTGCCGATATAGGGGACACGGGTTCGTGCCCCGGTCTGGGAAGATCCCACATGCCGCGGAGCGGCTGGGCCCGTGAGCCATGGCCACTGAGCCTGCGCGTCCGGAGCCTGTGCTCCGCAACGGGAGAGGCCGCGACGGTGAGAGGCCCGCGTATCGCAAAAAAAAAAAAAAAAAAAATCTTCAGTGCTGTCTTTAGTCTATAAGAGGATAGTCATCTTTTTGTTCCCAAGGTCATTTATGGTGGGTTGTGCGGTCTTGCTCCTGGCTGCCATGTGGTTACATACACGTACCCCATCTGTTGGTTATTGCTTCTGTTATTCACTCTGGATATCATAGTACTTCATTAACAGTGAGGTTCTCTATAGTTGGGACACTGAGTCAAAGTGGTGGGACACTACCATTTTGTTGAAGAATGGCTCCTTTTGGGCATTAACTGAGGGAACTCATTCTCTCATCTTAGGTATTCTCCACCTGATGAGAATTATACTCCAGGGCCTTCCAAATCTCTCTGATTGGTTCTGTAGTTCCCACTTCCCCCCTGAGACATAAAGACATTATGTAAATTTAGGCATGTGCCTCTCCAAACATAACTGCTTCTCCATGTTATTCTGAAAATTAATTCAATAATTGCTATAGCAAACTTGGTATGCCCCTAGTCCCCTGAAATTGATTAGGGTAGAACGAGCGGTATCCCTAAAAGTCACAAGTGTGCTTTTTCTCCAAAGGTGTATATGAAATACTTCACCGTGTAGGAGTGGGGCATGGTCCACTGGGGCGCATGCATTCATAGCAGCCGGGGCATCAGACACCTGAATCAATGGCAAGTATTGGGGCTAAATGGTGTGGTGCATCCTGAGTGTTGTTGACCTGCAGAGTGGAAAAGAGGCCAAGTAGGGTTGGAGGAGCTAAGAAAGGCTTTGGAGAAGATGGACTTGAGCTAGTCTTTGAAGGGTATGCAAGTTTGGATAGGATGGAGAAGTGAAATATGGGGTTGGGGTAGGGAGGATTGTTGAAGAGAAGTGCAGACCATTTTGGGAAACAAATGAGGCAAAAAGGTAAAAGTGAACTTAGGATATTTGTGAGACCCTGAGGAAACCAGGCTGATTAGAGCTGAGGATTCCTAGTACTTCGTAGTGAAAGTAGAAAAGTGGAGTTTTATCAAAATCACAGGAGAAACTGTCAAAATACAAGCACCTAACAAATAAGAAAAAAATTCTTAGCAAAGGAATGAAATGTAAAAGCAGTGTTTCAGGAAGCATAGTCAGGTGACTGTGATCAAGATCGTTAGAGCAGGAAGGCAAGAGCTCAGTCAGGCAAGGAGTTTGCTTGCCCCTAGGAGGAAGGGCTTGGTAAAGCATTGTTTTTTACTTCCTTTCTTTATGCGACTCCAGAAATTTCCCTAGGTACTGGAACTGTTCCTGGGAAGGGGCAGGGTCCAAAAACTCAAGGCTTTGAAGGCCTGCACAGAACTTCAGAAAAGTTATTTCTCTTTATGTTTCCTTAGGGAAAAGGAATAAAACACCCCAAAACTGGCCCCATCCCAGTTTCAGAGTCTCAGTTATATAGGGCCTTTGGGCCCAAGCTGTGGAGCTTTGGAGAATATATAATTATGTATCTCTTTAAATGATTCTTACTATTGCTCTCATAGATTGTTAGTCTTTTTTCCCCTTAATTAATGTTCTGAAATTCTTTTAATAGGACTCTCTAATGGCTGATGCTTTTCGTTGTTTTGCTTTTCCACCAAAGCACTTTTTGCTATTATCTGGGGGTGGCATGCATAAAGTCAGAGAAAATACTTGTTACTGTTTTTTCATACACAGCAACCAAGTGCAACAAATGATTGAGTTACTATTTAAATTAAAAATAAAATAAATGCACATGATACAAAGCTCAAAAGTGACTACTGGATATCTGGTGAACACTCTCCCTGTATCTTTAGCTCTCTAGTTTGTCTCTGGTTCTTGTGGATCTTTCCAGAGTTATTCCCAAGGCACTTATTTTTAAAAGTTGAGTGATCTTAGACTTTTAGATTTGGAAGGACCATAGGGGTCATTTGTCAACCGTTAGTGTTTCTTGTGGTATAGAGAAAAGTGGGCCAGATTTGAGGAATGGACATGGGTGAATTAATGGGGTTGAGTGACTCCTCTAAAATTTCTTAGAATATCACCATCTGAAACTAAAGCCTTTATGAAGCCTGTTTCCCAAAGGTCTCTTTCCTAAATTCCAAATCTATTTTTCCAATCTGTTTTCCTTGTTCTAAAGTCTTTTTCCTAATATCTTCCAGTACTGTCCTACTCTTGATTGTCTTGGATTTAATATTTAATTAAAATAGAGACAGTAATTAGATACTTTTAAATTTATTTTTAAAAAAGAAAATGAAATAAAGAACAAGACAGAAGTGCATGAGCTGCTTTATACTTCAGTAGTTTTACTGTATTAGTAAAATTTATATTTAATTTTGTGATTAAAATTCTTTTGCATTCGTTCTTATGATTTATGATGTATTGGGAATTCATGTTTTCATAGAAACAGTTCTAATTTTATTATGGGAAAATAGGAAATGATCTGTAGAAATTTGCTTTATTTGGCAACTTTCAAGAAAGCATTTATTAATATGGTCATTCCACTTTAACTTCTTTTTCTCTAGTACATAACAACATAGGCCCATGTTTGACTTCATTATTTACTTTCTTTTTTTTTTTTTTTTTGCGTTACGCGGGCCTCTCACTGTTGTGGCCTCTCCCGTTGCGGAGGCGCAGGCTCAGCGGCCATGGCTCACGGGCCCAGCCGCTCCGCGGCATGTGGGATCTTCCCGGACCGGGGCACGAACCCGCGTCCTCTGCATCGGCAGGCGTACTCTCAACCACTGCGCCACCAGGGAAGCCCATTATTTACTTTTTTTCATTCTTTAATCTGTTCTGGTTTTTCAAGTCACTTTCCTAAAGTATTTCACGTTACTGTTTTTGTGCTTACCTAGCATGATTCAGCTCTCATATTTTTCTTTCTACTTATACATTGTTCATGTTGGCAAGTTTGAGTTAGTGTTTCCTTAAGATCATAGACATTAGAGCTACAAGAGACCTGAGGACATTGAGCCTGGGAATGAAGTGAATAGGCTTCATCCCTTTGCCACTTCTCATCTGTTGATAGTGGCTGCCTAAAGACTGAGGCAGAATTTACCCTGACTGGGGAAAAGGCTGTTTTATTTCCCGTGTCTGGACCTGGAGAAGTCTACTGTCAGAACTAGGACATATCTTGGTTATTCCTCATCTAGCCCAGAAAACTGAGGAGTGAAGTAACTTGCTCAAAGTCACAGAGCCCTTGAGTCCATGGATCTACTGACCCCCAATGCTAGGAGCTAAGTGCTAGGCCTTTTTTCTCCCTAAGAATTATGGATTTCTTTCTGGATTTTTTGGTTTGTTTTTCCTCTGCGAGTCATAATTGAATTATATTAAGTATATCAACTTGTCACAGTTTGTTGTATCTTCAGGAAAGACTCAGAAGTATTCATCTGGCAGTTTAAAAATAGGCTTTTCCTTGTTCTAGGAAAGAAAGGGCCTTGAGTTACATAGTCTAGCTAAAACCGAGAACTTTCTTTTCACTTATTTTTTTTTAAATATAAATTTATTTATTTATTTGTTTTTGGCTGCGTTGGGTCCTCATTGCTGCGCACGGGCCCTCTCCAGTTGCGGCAAGCGGGGGCTAATCTTTGCTGCGGTGGGTGGGCTTCTCATTGTGGGTGGCCTTCCTTGTTGCAGAGCACGGGCTCTAGGCACACAGGCTTCAGTAGTTGTGGCACACGGGCTCAGTAGTTGTGGCTCGTGGGTTCCAGAGCGCAGGCTTAGCAGTTGTGGCACACGGGCCCAGCTGCTCCACGGCATGTGGGATCCTCCCAGACCAGGGCTCGAACCCGCGTCCCCTGCATTGGCAGGCAGACTCCCAATCACTGCGCCTTCGGGGAAGCCCCAGCAGGCAGATTCTTAACCAGTGTGCCACCAAGGGAAGTCCTCACTTATTTTTAAGACTGAAAGTTTTCCCATTAAACTTTTAAAACTTATCCTCATTACTCTCCAACCAGACCCACCCACCCAAAAAGGGAGGAAAAGTAGAATTTTATGAGAAAGAGTGAATTTTATTAGAGTGAGATTGTTGGTTCAAACCAAAATCTGGTGTAGAAGGATTAAAACACTAGCAGAGTGAGACAGGGTAGGGAGGTCCTTTAATAACATTTTACTTTCAACATTTATCAACGGTACTATTTGACATTTTGGCCAAGATCATGCATTATTTTGCAATTACGAATACAGGTAACACAATACACAAGACAAATAACAATAGTAGCTATATTCTGTATGTATGTTAGTATTTATTTTATGATCATTGATTTGGGAAAACTTCATATTAAAAAATATATATGTTCTCTGACATCTTCTACATCTTATGGGCTTATTTTGGTGGTTTAGAATAGTTCTGGTAATTCCTTAGAGCACTTTGTCCCATGTATTACCAAAACCTTAACTTTTTTTAAGACTCTAGAATGCTGGGACAGCTTTCATACGAAATTTTTTTTTTTTTTTTTTGTGGTACGCAGGCCTCTCACTGCTGTGGCCTCTCCCGTTGCAGAGCACAGGCTCCGGACGCGCAGGCTCAGCGGCCATGGCTCACGGGCCCAGCCGCTCCGCGGCACGTGGGACCCTCCCAGACCGGGGCACGAACCCATGTCCCCTGCATCGGCAGGCGGACTCCCAACCACTGCGCCACCAGGGAAGCCCCACACAAAATATTTTGATGCCTTATTAACTGTTAACCAGCAGGTCTGCAAGTATTGCCAACGACAGTTACGTACATCTTCATCAAGTCACATTTTGTTGAGAATAGTTGATTTCGCCCGGGATCGTTTCCTCATTTGGAGGTATATTTTTCTATATAAACACATTTTCAGTTGAACAGTGATGTACTTCTTAATCCTTTTTTTGTGGCACAATTATTGATACACAGCATTGCTCGAGGATAGGGTTCTGCATACCCATGGATGTAAAAAGGAAGTGGAGAAGAGAAGAGACATGCCAGTGAAGGGTTCTTTTCAGTGTGCCACCTGGGCTGTAGTCTTATGATGGAAGGTGGCAAGAGAAGGTGTGAGGGAGAATCAGATTTGCTTTCACTATATGCCCAGCTTTGCTGATCACCAGTGTTGCATATTGAGACAGCACAACAGTGTATCCAAAGAAAACTTTTAAGTGTTGAGATTGAATCTGCATTTAACATTACATCTACAGTTGAATATTACAATCTCTCTGCCCTATTTTTGCCATGTCTTTGATTCTTATAATCGTTTAAATTCCAGTTTGAGAAACACTTATAAAGTTGGGAGAGAGAACAACAATCTGTTTGTACAATTTTCTCAAATTCTTTTCCTCTCCTTCCCGTGGTCCCTTTCCTCTCCCTATGCCCTACCCCGCTCCAGTCCAATGTCTCCTTTCCCCAGGACAGCACGTTAAATGTAATAGGCACTTAATAAATATATACAAATACATATTGATCTGAAGATGGGGAAATTGGTAAGGTTGAAAAGAATTTTTCAGAATGAAGGAAGAATTCTGGTCTGAAGCCCAGGAAATTCATAAGGGTGAAACTGCGGCAAGATGTTGCCGTTCACCGTTTGTTCACTGCATAAAACTCAACTTGATCTCAGTATGATTTCTTTAAGATCTAGCCTAGTTTATTTTAGGATTTTGTATGTAGTTTTACTAACTCAGTATATTAAGAAAATTCTTGCAAGAGGAAGAATGAGTCATAGCGATACTTCCCTTGGTAGAGAAG